ACTGTAATTAGTCAAAATATAACGCAAAAGAGCGTGTTTAACGCTATGGTAAATAAATAGACTGGCACTCGATGAGAAAAACAATCAGCTATAAATTGAGCTTTCGTCTGCCATCTATAAATAATTCTGCAATTTTCCCTGTTCTGATCATTACTACCTATTTCAAGAGAGAAAAGTACGTTTGCTGATAGGAAGACATACAAATGACACACTAAAGAAAGAGTAAAGTGTGATGTTCTTCTACTACCCAATGCCCCATCCTCATGACGAACCATGTTACACAGTTCTAACTTATCCAAACACAACAAATTTAAAAAAATACACAAAAGAAACGATGTTTAGTCACGTTGCACATCAAACACACTAGAGATTGAAATTGTCTGGCCCTTCAAATAATTACTGAGTCTTGTTTTGCCAAGGAAGTCATTTCGTCATTTCCTTAGAGCTTCCTGCACATATTTTCCAATTTTTATGGGTTCACCACACCACGAAGTGGTGGTGAACCCATATTGCTTTTTCTGATGTTTCTTCTCCTCCTCCTGCCACTTCTTTAAATTGATTCAACTCCTTCATTTTTGGGCGAAATTACCTGTAATTTCGTATAGAGGTAGAGTGGGTAAATACCCTTAGGCGTTTTTAAAATTTTTTTGATACAAGCTTTTACAATCGTTTTATTTGCTTTTTAGTGGTCCCCATAGGAAAGTACTGTGGGGGCGTACGCGCGTGACGTAATAAGAAAGGAATTCGGGGGAAGGCCCAAATATGGGCATACAAGCAGGTGTGGTCATGTTTGCAGATGTGGCTGTTGATTGGCTGTTGGCTAATTAATTTATTTACTACCATTTTCACGTACAATAGGGGGATTACCAGCGCGGCTGGTCCACGCGGTCTCGGCCGTGGGCCATGATACTCTGATATTGGATACCGATTCGTGTGATTCCTATAAACATTTCACCTCACTACGAACTAGTTGGAAGAATTATAGCTGCATGGATGCCTGTATATGATTTTAACAAACACTGAAAATCTGACGCAAAAACTGGCAGATATTTTGCTCTTCTCTGTTGGAACAACGCAAGCGGGAGGTCAATGACCTGCGCCCCGCGAGTACTGTAAACAACGGTACGTAATGTGTATCGTCGGCGCACGCCCCGACAGTTTTCAAAGATTGGACAGGGAGCGGCGGCTTCTGCTAGCCGGATTGATAGTTACGTTACATCAAGGTACCGGTGGTTCAAAAGTGAACCTGATAAAGAAGGAAATCTCCTAGAAAGTCCCTTACTAGTACTTGAAGCGATCGTTACCGCCACGTTGTTCACTTTATATGACATACAATGCAGAGAGTAATGGAAACGTGTCCTGATAGCTCGGTTGGTAACGCGCAGGGCTGCAAGTCCAGACATTACGAGTTCGAACCCCGGTACACTGGATATTTTTAATTACCCTTTTTACAATTTTTAACAATTTTAACATTTTTAACAATTTCAACAATTTTAACCATTTTAACCATTTTAACCATTTTACATTTTAACAATTTCAACATTTAATTTTAACATTTTCGTTTTAATATCCATTGCTTTGCTTTTAACATTCCAAAACTGATTGTTCTTACTCAAGAATTTCAATAACTTCGAATGTTAGTCTTTTGTATTTTTTCAACATACAAACCAAAATCACTTTGATGTTGTCACAAAAGTAACATCTGTGCGCGCATCGGTTTTCGTTCATTTAAAAACTACAAGTACAAAACATCTGGAAACTAAGCAAACATACTCAGTAAATTGATTGCTGTAATTCCCGATTTTTTTTCACTGTACCGCAACGCAAGCGGGGGGTCAATGTTCACGGTTTTCACTGTCACCTCTGTATTGTGAACTTATCATTACAGTTAGGAAATAATTCCTGGGCTTTCTTTTCCTGCAACTGTCACCACCGTGAATATATAGTTCCGTGAACATGTCCATTTTTCTCAGGCCGTGAAAATTTTGCTTCCGTTAGTAGTAGTTACAATCTCATCAAAAGTGTAAGTAAAGCTGTCGAGATTTAAAGTGCGTGTCGTTGTATCTTTGTAAAAAAAAAAGGAGATAATTGCCAAGTGCCAGTTTTGTAAATACCTGTCGAGATTCAAACAGCTTGTCCTTGTATAATTGCAGTATGATTTATTTAGAATCTCTCATTTTTGTTTGGGGAAGGGTATGGAGTGAAATTCCTACATTTGCTCCGAAGCGAATGTTGGCCTTTCTAGTTTAAACGGATTCAGCTTCTTCATTTTAGGGCCTAAGGTCCTGAAATTTGGTATGGAGGTACAGTGGGCAAATACCCCTAGGCGTTTTTTAAATTTTTGTGATACAGGCTTTTAGAATGCTTTTATTTTAGTTTTTTACCTTCGCCAAGAAGGTTATGTTTTCAGTAGCGTTTGTGTGTGTGTGTGTATGTTTGTGGTTTAGCAAGATAACTCGAGAAGCAGTGGATGGATTGGAATGAAACTTGGTAGGTGGGTAGGTCTTCATGAGACGTAGAAATGATTAGATTTTGGCCCCCCTGGCGGCTTTCCTAGGTACTGCAGCTGAACTTCCGGTTTTGATATCTCATGTTCTGGACATGCTAGGGTCACGAATTTTGGTTGGTAGATAGCTCTTGGGGTAGGGAAGAAGTGACATGAGTTTGGGTCCCCTAGCGCGTTGTTCTAGAACTGCAGGAGCATTTGTTGAAAAAAATTTGAAGGATGATAACTCAAGAACCGGTTGACGTATTGTCGTGATTTTTGGTATGTAGGTAGTTGAAGTGATGCTTGACATAATCAGATGGCAATTATGCAAATCAGGAACTAATTTGCATAATTAATGAGGAAATTCTATAAATCTGCTTGGTTCGATAATAGAACTATGAAACACTTGTGACATCTACTTGAGAACGAGAAAAGCATCTGAGGATATAGATTATGTAAATGAGGACCTAATTTGCATAATTAATGGAAAATTCTTATAATTCCATAGTTGTAACTGCTGCACCCCGAATTTCATACTTGCCACATTTGGAAGTTAAGTGAAGGTGAACATCAATAAACATAATTTATTCAAATCATGACATCATTTGCATAATTTATGAGGAAGTGCTATAATAGCCTTTTTGTTATGATAAGGCTGTCATTGGATGGAGAATATGATCAACTGATATAATCCATGCAAATGAGGCTCTTATTTACAAAACCAATGATTAAAATTGTATAATTCGTCACCCGCAAGGGTTAACATCATTTGGCGAAGGTATGAGATCGTGGAACTCTTGTTGGCTGTGTTATAGCAAATGCATTACTGTGTTAGTGTGCCGTGTTTACCACGGCTGGGCATGAGTCATCACAATGGAATGCAGGGCATCAACCAATAGGCATGCAGCTTTCCTCTATACTTCTTGCTGATTGGCTGTTGGGATTTAACTTGATTAACACCTGCACAGAGCATTTCCACCTGCACAGAGCATTTCTTGCTGATTGGCTGTTGGGATTTAACTTGATTAACACCTGCACAGAGCATTTCCATACTGACAGTATATCTTTATTCAAGTGTTTTGGTAGGTATTTCAAGCTTTTCTGCTCCAGCATTGGAATGCGGGGCATGAACGTTTTTTTTTTTTTGAAAATCAACAGTTTGCATTATGCAATTAAAAATCCTAACCAATAAAGTAGGGAATAGCTATCCAACTGTTGTTTTAGTTGTATGTTACTTCATATTATAGTTATATCAATGTAAATCCTTGTTTTCCCTTGTGTTTCTCATTCTTTCCCTGCCATGTCGTAAAATGTGGTGAACCCATCGCTGTATTTGCTCCAAAGCAAAATCAAACTTATCTTCTGATCCATGACGTTATTTTCGTCTTTCGTGTCTGTTTTGAGCTTCACCAAAACGTGTTTGCAGTAGTTGATATTTTAATATTAATACTAGCTCTAAAAATATCACATATATTTTAGGGCTTGCTGCAAATATTTCCAAATTTATCTCCGAATCTATGACGTTATTTGAGAAAGAGAGAGAGAGACTGGTTTATGTGTACAAGTACACACCAAAGCCTGTAAGCAGCCATATTTGGCTGAATAGGAAAGGCTTGAAAACACAACACAAAATGCGCTAATAGATTGGCTATATTTTTGTCCCTCGTGTCAGTTTTAAGCTTTGTCTGTTTTAAGCCTCGTCACTCGCTACGGCCTGCCATATCCTGACGATTACGTCATGTGTTCTCATCCCTACTATTATGGTACATTAAATCTGCGGCAATGGACCTATTTCGCAAGATCTCCAATGCCGAACTTTACAACAGAACTGGCTGTAGTAAACTCACCACGGAGATCACAGGCAGAAGACTCAAGTGGTTAGGGCATGTACTGAAGATGCCTGACAACAGGATCCCCAAAGTCGCCCTTAACTGGAGGCCAGAAGGAAAGAGGAAAAGAGGCAGACCAAAGACCACATGGAGGAGAACGGTGTCGGACGACCTGGCGGCCATGGGACTGTCCTGGAAAAGTGTTAACAACATGGCGCAGGACAGACCCAGATGGAGGAAGAAAGTCATGGCCTTATGTCTCACAAGGGACGAAGAGGATAAGTAAGTAAGTAAGTAAGTAATGGACCTATTACATTAGGTCACACCAAGTAAATTTTATGGATGACGTCCTTTAGAGACCCTAAATCTAATGCGAGAGGGCGAAAAAAAAACAAGAAGGGCCCTAAAAAACAAGATGCCTAGATTAGAAATATACTAAGAGACGACAAATGTTAGGACACAAATTGAATGAGGTGACACAGTGTAACAAGCAAGAAGTCTTTTATTCATCATCAAAACAGCAATAAATCTGGTGGAACAGCTGTCCTGTTTCTTTCATCACATTGTTGCAGGCCCGCAGAAACAAAGCATAAAATTGCGGCACTGTCGTCACTCTTTGGTCATAGTTACTGGAAGCAGAATTTCTTGTGTTTTTTTTTTCTAGGAACAGGCCAAAATCAATGCGCGCGCGGACGTCATCCATAAAATTTACTAGGTGTGGCCTTATTACGTCACAGTTTGCATACCGCAATGAATACCGGGACAGTTTGTGGTCAATTGATGTTTATATTGTACAGGTGTGTGAGGTTGTGTAGCGTTACATATACTACTTTCGTCTACTGTCACAACTAAGTCACCCATTATGGCACGTAATGCTGTTTCAAAAAAACTAGACCCAGCAAAAATCAATTAAGTACAGGTAACTCTCCTGCCTAGCTATATTCTTTTTAGGCCGATTTCTACTATTTATTCAGCCTGCAAACGAGTCTGGCGAACACTTGTCTAAAATGGCTGTTCTCCGGTATTTCTTTAGCCTGTATTTAAGTCCGATCCGATAGTCACTAAAGCTACGGTCACAACCCGCCGTACGTGCTTTTTGTCCGTACGTTTTTTGGGAGGCTACGTCTGCTACGTTTTTTCTGAAAACAGTTGGAAGGAGTGGCGTCGACGCACGTCACTCGCCCGGTTTCGCAAGGTGTAATTGTGTGTCTTGTGTGTAATTGTCTGCACGCCACGCCTGGCCGTCAGCGGTTGCGTGCATCGTACGTTGCGCAAGTGGTAAGTGAGTTGTACGTGCTTACAACGTACGATCTCTGTGCGATTGCAACTTTACCGTAAGGAGGCCGTACTCACACGTGCGTCTTTCGTACGGTACGTACGGGGCACGCGTGTCGCTCGTACTCTCACGCACGGGTGGTGAATCCGTAGACCGCACGCAGAAAAAGTTTTACATGCACTTAAAGTTCTACGGCGTGTCTGCGTGCTCCCAAATCCGTAGGATTCTGTACGGAGGCGGTACTCACCACGCACGGATACCCTGCGTTTGCCCACGATTTTGCACGTAGACAGCACGCAGAAGCACGTACGGCGGGTTGTGGCGGAAGCTTAACAACCAACCAGTTGCAAACTGTACTGTAGCGAACCAACTCCCCGGCATATTATCTGTCAATTTGGCATTTGGCATCTGGCATTTCGTTCAAATCTTTTCAAATCGGTACGTCCTGTAAAGTTAAACTATTTTAGCTTAGGTTCTCGTTATTCCTGTATTCTCATTACCCGACTTCGTCTGGGCACCTGCAGCTTGAATCACAATCTTTATACCCGAGGTCTTGTTACAAGTCCATCCTGTAGCTGCGGGTGTCCATATGAAACGATTGCTCATTATTTATTGCACTGCCCTATATACACCTACCAGCGCTTAGTCCTTTTTGGCAAGCTTTCAAGCATACTTGGTAATATTGTTGATTTAAACACCCTTTCTGATAATTCCATACAATATTTAGTTCTTCGCGGTAGTTTCCTTTGTTCCTATGACATCAACTGCAAAATAATGTTAGCCGCACAAGATTATATATTAGAAACAAAAAGATTCTAACTGTATGTGTCTTCTGGGATGGGAGGATTGTTACTCACGCGTGATCTCATGTATTTTTAATTGTCTTGTAAAATATTTTTCTTTCATTGTAAAAGTGGCTGCGAGAATATAAGTTGTACCTAACTTGAGTTCGCAGTCACTTAGTCCATGTCTTTTCATTTGTAATTCTCATTGAGTTTCTGAATAAAAAAAAAAAAAAAAAAAAAAAAAATTTGGTAGCCTAGAACCAATCCCTATAGCTCGTAGGGTTTGATCCCAGGCTAAATTCTATTTGGCCAATTTGTACTCTTTCTAGCCGCTATCTGAAGCCTTGTAGCGCTACATAACCATATTTGTGCCAAATTCTAGTAGGTACCCCTTTCTGAAATGCCTGGAGGCATTAGAAAATCCTGGTGCAGGCTAGCCTTCTGAAAAGTCTGTTGGAGACTATCTCTAGCCTCGGAAATGCCAGGTTGAGGCTAGCCGGCCGTCTCCAATCGAACACAAAACCTAGTCTGCACCAGACTCCTTTGCAGGCTAAATAAATAGTAGAAATCGGCCGAATAAGGAAATATCGTTGGCCAGAGGAGTTGGCCGACCAGAGAGGGTACAGTTTGCTGCAAAGGCTGTCTGGTGGATACTACACAAAACCCGTCCTGGCGGTTGATTTCCTTCTGACGTCACGCCCTGCAGTCTGAGACAGTCTTGACGCACTCGCACAGACTTAAGGAGGTTCTTGAGAAGGAAGCTGCTGCGTCTTCACATCCCGCGCGTCTCAGATCGACCCTTCTGGAGTCTTCAAGGCGGCCTTGAGACGTGATCTTTTTTTTTTTAGGACAGACGAAAATCAATGCGCGCGCGGATGTCATCCATAAAATTAAGGCGGTGTGGCCTAAGTATAAAATGCATGTTTTTCAGTGGTTCTACAGAAAACATACATGAAATGAAGAAACCCACTTCAATTCAAGTCAATCACCGACAGATTTATTTGCAAACATCAAGCAAAAAAAACAAGGCACACAATCCCAGCTTATTTCTAGCACTGTCAGTTTCTGCAGCTACTTTCGTGAAACAATTAAAACAAAATCTACCACACAGCGCGGTTATAGGAAACTAAACACATTATTAATTTCATCAGGTTCGTAAACAACTGAATAGCATTTTATCACTAGCCGACGTTTCGATGACCGTCTGTCATCTTCATCAGGGCAATTCTGACTGGTTAACTGTGCACTAACACTAGATGTTACTTGGTGCAAAGTGTACTAAAGGTGTTAAATAGTTCACAGTGCACTTAAGCTAGTTTTGTTCTGTTTACAATACATTCCGGAACGTAGTGTAATTGTGACATACATACTAGGCATTGTTACATCATAGGGAAATATGCGGTTCCAAATGTAAAGTGTTTCTATTTATAAGATTTGTTAACTGACAATACTGAGCTATCACAGTCCCAAATGGAAATTATTAAAAGTCTTGTTACATATGTGTTATTAGGAATCATAATAGTTACAAACAATAAGAAAACCAATGTCAGTTGTTAGGAATGTGATCCCAAACATGACTAAGTTTATACCCCCCCGGTTCATGACTTTAAACACATTATTATATATGGCGACACAAGTGAACAAACGTCGTCATAGTATAACAGCATCATCACAGCCATGAAAAACTTTTAGTAGTTAATAACTGAACATTAAGTCATCAAATTTCAATTGTCATATTTGTGAAGACACATGTATATATAGTGAAGAGTCAACCCTATTGTTTAGTAACTGAAACATCATTTACCAACAGGCAACCAAAGTTTGAACTTTCTACCAAAGGGCAGGAATGGTAATTACGTTTTGTCGCGTTACAGTTGCTTCTAATTTCTAGTTGATCATCTAAAGATATTTGAACTCTATAAAACTTTAAGTACAAGTTGTCTCTAGAACTTGACTGTAATTTGTTCATATTGAATGTAACCAAGGTCACAGCCTGTAACCAAGGTCAATGTCGTACAGAACCGGGTCAAGGGCACGCTCTAGGTCATCAGACTGCCGTGTCTGTTCCTGTGACGTCAGGGCGTGCCTTCTAGCGGTTCTTGGTTGTGACGTGTGTGCCGGGGTGGAGGGAGGGGGAGGGGCAGGAGTAGGACTGGTTCTGCGTCTCTTGTTTCCTGCACCAGATCGCCAGGAACACGGCCGAGGCGAGAAGCGCTCCGACCAGCACGCCAAGGAAACCGCTGAGGAAGACTGAGAGGGAGAATCCAGGCGAAGGCCCGCTGCTGCCAGTGGCTGACCCGCCGGCCGGAGGGGTGGCGCCGGTAGTACCGGTACTGGTCTCCTCCTCACAGATCAGATCCTCCGGCTCTACAGCCACCAGCAAGCTTTTCCCCTCCAGGTGATCAGGTCCCTCACACCGGATCGTCTTCTCAAATGCTAGAAACCCTGTCAGCCTCCGCTTGAATGGTAACATCCTGCAGTCACACTGCCAGGGGTTGTCGTCAATGTTAATGCGCACAGTTCCGTCGTCATTAGAGGCCAGGATGTCATACGCCGCGGGCGTCAGGGTCTCCATCAGGTTGTTGTCCAGCTTCAGGTAACCTTTAGTAATTAGGTTGGAAAAGGCCTCCACTGGGAAAGCGTTGATGTCGTTGTTTGATAGGGAAATGTATCGGTACGCTGGTGAATGGGACAATATGTTAGATCCGATGGCGACGATGTTGTTGTTCTGAAGTTCCAGTCGGTACAGGCTCCGGGAGTTACTGAAGGTCCCCGCCTCGATACTGTGGATGCTGTTGTTATGTAGATCAAGCTCACCCAGGTTATCCAGTCCCACAAACATGTCCGGTCGGAGACTCGTTAACTGGTTATTGTAAAGGTTCAGGGTTCGAAGCCCAGGAAGATTGAAGGTTCCTGCCTCGATACTGTGGATGCTGTTGTGAGACAGATAAAGCCCCTCCAGGTTATCCAGTCCCACAAACATGTCCGGTCGGAGACTCGTTAACTGGTTATTGTTAAGGTTCAGGGTTCGATTGAGCCCGGGAAGATTGAAGGTTCCTGCCTCGATACTGTGGACGCTGTTGTTACGTAGATCAAGGCTACCCAGGTTATCCATTCCCACAAACATGTCCGGTCGGAGACGGGTTAACTGGTTATTGTAAAGGTTCAGGGTTCGAAGCCCGGGAAGATTGAAGGTTCCTGCCTCGATACTGTGGATGTTGTTGTGATCCAGACGAAGGGTACGCAGGTTATCAAGTCCCAGAAACATGTCAGATCGGAGAATGGTTAACTGGTTATTGTGAAGGTACAGGTAAGTTAACCTGGTGAAGGTGTAAAACGCTCCGCTGTTGATTGTGGAGATCTGGTTGTGTTGCAGCCGTAATGTTGTCAGGTTGCTGTACCTGGAGAAGTCGGACTGGTTTAAGGTTGTGAAGGCGTTGTTTTGCAGGCTTAGGGACGTGATCAGGCTTGTCGGCAGGTCCTGAGGAACACTGGTGAGGCTTTTGTTGCTGCAGTCACACCCCCGCCGACAAGAACACTCTGACGAACAGCTGCTGCTGCATCTGGCTGTGGCCCGACCGTACGGTGGATACTGGCGACAAAATATTAAATAAATGTCCCTGTCTTCCTGAAACTTATTATGACATTTTCATATTGAACTTCTATACCTACAACACAAGACAAAGCTATATAAATTAGGCCTATTACTGCAAAAACTACTCAACTATACAGGGCACCTACAGTCTGGAATAATTTGAATAAGACCTTAAAGCTATGCTGATTTCATGAAAAAAAACTCAACACTTTCCTAGGTCTGGTTCACTCAACATTCAAATCACGTTCTTATTACGTATTCTCATTATTTTATTTCATGTACTGTACTGATTGATTGATTGATTTATTTCTTATTTTTCCATTTGCTTGTAGCCAAACCTATTGATTTTGTTTGGTTCACCGCATTTTTTTCATTACTGATGCTAAACTTGATTTTATTAAGGCAATTGATTCATTTTTAATTGTATTTGTTTATTATCTTAATATTGCTTCTTTATTGTTTCTATATTATATGTCGTTGATGAAATTGTAACATTTTATTGTATTTCTTTGATAAAACTGTAAAAATTGTAAAATAATGATGGGGAGGAATTCAAACAAGCCTTACTGCTTTTCTTCCCCCCCCCCCTTGCACGCTTTAGTCCATAGTATTATATTCTTTTCACTTTTATGTATATGCTAATAGATAAATAGAAAATAAGATAAAATAATAAATACAGGGTATCCTTGTGGTGGGTAAGGGTATCCTTGTGGTGGGTAGCCTCTATAGCGGTCGGTTCGACTCTGCCAGGCTGCAGTTGTACCGGTTTCCGCCAGGAGGACCAGCAGCAGAACCAACCAGCCGTTGTTGTCCATCTTGTCTGTAGGACAGAGATCAGACACGTCGCTGTTGATTATAACATATAGATACATATAGATACATATATACATACATATATCTATCTATCTATCTATCTATCTATCTATCTATCTATCTATCTATCTATCTATCTATCTATCTATCTATCTATATCTATATCTATCTCTCTCTCTCTCTATATATATATATATATATATATATATATATATACTATATCTATCTATCTATCTATCTATCTATCTATCTATCTATCTATCTATCTATATCTATCTATATCTATCTATATCTATCTATCTATCTATCTATCTATATAGATAGATAGATAGATAGATAGATAGATAGATAGATAGATAGATAGATAGATAGATAGATAGATAGATAGATAGATAGATCACGGCTCTGGAATTGTATTTAGTTTTATCATAACTAGATTAATTTACTACTCTACATAAACAAGTTTATCAGAAAGGTCTTTAGAGTTAGAAGTAGGTTAGAAGAAAACACCACCCTGTCATGTTATGGTAGAGTCGGTTATGGACCCGCAGGTTCGTATATCGGGTATTCATGGTCTGTGTTTGTTTGTTTGTTTGTTTGTTTATTGGTTCGCATATAATTTAATAACAATAAATTGAAAATGTTACTGACAATAAAATAAAATGCTGGGGAAAGATATGAAGCCATAGTGGCTTGTCTGGGATCTTCCCCGACAAAATTAATTAACAACTGAAATAATGCTAACAAATCACATGATAATAATAAATAACAATAGGTAATTAATAAATTTGATCAATATGATCAAAATGATAATAGTAACAAAACAAATAGTAACATGAATAACAAAAGTGATTGATAAATAACGCTAATTAGAAATGATATGTTAAAAACTATAACTTTAACGTTAACAGAACTTTAACTGCAATACAGACATTGGCAGAATTGAAGCAATAACTCAAGAAAATAAATGAATTTTAAAGAGAAACGGAGATTCAGACTTATACAGGTGAAATCAAAGTAATAAGAAATCAAATGTCGGTGGAAAAGAAAAGTAGGTGATTTTTAAGATTTCGTTTAAAGCTAATTATTGATGTTGAACATTTTAGGTGGAGCGGGAGATTATTCCAAGTAGTTATACATTTATATTTTACACTCATTTGGGCTAAGGACGTTCTAACTAGGGGGATATGGAAATGGGCACTTTGTCGAGTTTGGTAAGTATGAAAATGGGAATTAAGATTTAGAAGACCATTAAATGTGTCTGGAAGAGAACAAGTAAGGAATTTAAACGTAAATAACATCAGATGAAGTTTGTTTATGTCAAAAATATTCAAAATATTAAGTTTTGTAAACAAAGGTGCAGAATGTGCGTGGAAAACTGGCGCCGGTGGCTGAACGAACAAATCTTTTTTGGAGTAATACTAGGGGCTGTAGTGTGGTTTTGTAGGCGCATCCCCAGACTATATTCCCGTAGGTTAGATATGGGTATATTAAGCTATTGTATATGGTAATAATGGTTTTTTGAGTAAGAAGATGTTTAATTTTTCCAATAATACCGATAGTTTTTGAAATTTTTTTACCTAACATAGTTATATGTGGTTTCCAGGTGATCAATCTAATTGTGCTTTGACGCGCTGTTTAACAATATTTAGTAGTCAAACTGACTGCCCCCCTCCTCTTTGGATTTACAAATGCGTCTAACAATCTCTTTTCGGTATGATCAAATTATGCAAGGCTAAGTTTCTTGCTTTAATATTAAAATTAATTACCGGCAGATGCTTGCCAATCTTAAAGTTTGTTCTCTGGAGTGTTTCTACCGTATCGCCTTAATT